CAGTAAATCACTCTTTAAAAAAGGATCAATGAAAGAAAAAGATTGGGAGCCCCTGGATTATAAGCTTGTATACATATACAAAAAAATGTTTAAGACTTGGGAGTCAATAGAGAACAAAGTCCTTCCCAGTCAGAAACGAACTAAGGTAAGGTTGGGGCCACTCATCAGTACTTTTAATCATATATACTAATATTATGATTCAGAAATAGAAAAGAAAAGAAAAGAAAAAGAAAAAGAAAACATGAAACATTCAAGTAAAAAGAAGAAAACAATTCAAATACAACTTCATGCATATGTATGAGCAAGAACATTAAAAATAAAGGACATTCAGAAAGCAGTTTACGAAGTACATAAAAAAGCAAAAGACAACTTACAAATACAGACCACTCAGGTTACAATGAACTTCAGGGGACTAACATGTTTGGTTCACTATATCCAATTATATTGAAATTATATAGAATTTCTCAACAATGATTGATTTTATTAATATAGAGATACAGCACAATGCATTAGAAGCACAAACTGAACATTTCAATATCTTTATTTCTCCATAAAAAATCAATTGTTTGCTTTGTACATTTTTCATTAGAAATTTCTCTAGATTCTTCTTCAGAGTTTATGTTCTCTCCATACATGATTCTGCATTGTTCTGTACCTCTAAGAAACATAATGCAGTCTTGACAGCTTTCAATGCTCCTTGCACTGTTGGAACACTGTCCCACTCTCTGAAGACGTTTTTACTCGCCTAATAACATGCAAGATCCAATTAATTTCCAGGATTTATTTCCTATGTTCACTATCGCCAAGTTTTAGGTTCACTATAACCGAATCTTCCTATTCTTATTTGTAATACAAGTGAAACGGTACCAGTGACTAAAAGTTCACTTGGTGACTAGGGTTCACTATACGCGAGTTCCTTATAACCAGAGATGACTGAGTATGACAAAATAAAATGGGTGGCTTTTGAGGATAAATAACTTAAAAATGAGGCTAGATTAAAATAATGAATTGTGTAATTGAACAAATAAGGTAATTTAACAGTCTTGGAAATAGAGTACAGAATGTAGAAAACAAAATTCAAAAATTAAAATTAAATGATGCAATAAAGAGAAATTTGTCAAGAAAAATAAGCATGGTGACGACACTGAGAATAAAGAGAAAAATAACAAAACCAGCACTCCCGTTTCATTAAGAAACTGGTAAATTAGAGCTAAGAATACCGTGAGGTCGGAAGCAACTCCCAGTGAAGGCTAAAAGTGAGTTACTAACTTAAGACAAATGTATTAAAGAAAGCAACTGGAAGTAAAAAGAAATTCTTACAACTACATTCCAAACACGCAATGAAAATGGTTCAAATACATATTATACATGTGAAAAGTAAAAAAAGTATTCTTGAGACATTAGTCAACACAGAGAAGTAGAATTGGAAGATCCAAAAGGAAAATGAGACAACTTATTAGGCCTATTGTGAAGCAGTCAGGTAGCAATAGACTAGTGATGCTTGAAACCAAGTCATCAATAAATGATGACAAAATGTAGACCAAGATGATTAGGAATTCCATGAAATAATGGACATTTTCATTTCACATGATTATGATTAATTAAAAAATTTAACTACAATCAAAACATAAATGTATTATAAAAATAAGATTAGAATATGCATTGAACTTGCTTTTATGTCATAGTTTTAATTATTTTCAATGAATTTAAAAGAAATACAAATTATTATTATTATTATTATTATTAAAAAGTTACTTTTAATAAAAAATAACATCAAACTTTAAAAACAAAACAAAAACAAGTCATTTCCAAAGAACCAAGGAATATCAAACAAAAATTAAAGAAGTAAATGTTGGAAAATAATGAGGGGCAGAAAGAAAAAAGTTATGACATCTGAAAATTGTTTCAGATTCCCATAAGAACATTAATGACAGACTTCTTTGATGGCAGAATTATGAAAATAGAGCAGGTTCAAAAATTAAAAATAGGGAAGAGTTTGAGGCTGGAAAGAAGACATCAAAGAGAAAAAGAACTCGGGAAGGTCTTTTTATCAGTACCATGTAAAAGTACATTGAAGAACATTACTTAAAAAATAATAATTACCTAAACAGGAACATATTTCTTAAGAGGAATGTATGAGATATTACTAGACATACTCAATTACAATTATTCAATGTGACTAGAAGAGGTCAGGAAGTGAAGATAATACTAACAATCTGCAAATATTTTTCAAACTTGTATATTTGGTCTTTTTAATTTTTCTTCCTACTTAAAAGAAATAAAGAGCTCTTTAGAAATATTTAGAATGGTATTGTACTCCAAATTTTCCCCTACAAAAGCCTTTTATGACTAACAACACTGATTGCAAGATTTAGCATACCACTCCTAATAATTATAATTCATATAATGTTTCAAGAAAGATGAATTGGAGCCATCAGAAAATACATTAAGATTTAAGCAGGCTGATTTCAAACCACTTTCAATCTTATCTCTCTCAATTCTTCTAGTACTAACAAATCAGAACACCTGGAATAATAAAAGGACAATCACTAAGAATTAAAATTTTATCTTATCAGTTTTCAATTTATTGCTATACGGAGCTATTTTACAGATCAGATTGAGTAAAAGAATCATTGAATATAGTTTTAAAACTTTCTATAACATATTCTAACTTTATCAAAAAAAAAATTTATAT